GGCTGGCCGGGAACACGCAGTTCGCAAACCGGAGAGCAACCACTGTTTAAATCTTCGATCGAACTTTCATGTTGAATTTGAAACTGAAAATACACTAAGTGGTCAATTTCCGATAGAAATCTTGTGAGGTAAATGCCATTCTTGTAAATAGTCGCTGCATATTTACGTTCAGAGTCACTCTGGTTCAGAGTAAAGACATACATAGTCAAATACTGCTTCCGTACGCTACCCCTCCAAAAATCAATTTTGTTCGAAGACCGAACTGCAACGGAGTTTAGTTACCAGTCTTATGCTGCGTGTTATTGGATAGAACGCATGATATGATTGGCTCCGTATATTACATTACGTCAGAGGACATGTCTGCTACATAGGACATAACTGCAACGGTACACCCTTGCGTTACATGTCACACCTGTGTAGTACCCAGTGCTAAACGGTCTGAACTGCGCAAATGAAAGAAAGTTGCTTCCTCTTGATCTGCGGCCTTATGCTGAAATTTTAACACCTGGAAATGACATCTGTTGACGAACTTAAGAAAAAATGCAGGGAACAGTTAAAATTTGAACCCTTTCAAACCCTCCTGAAGTTTGCAGAGTCTAATGAAGTGGACGTAACAGATGCTGGATTCGCTAGACTGTTGGACGAGCGAGATGAACTGAAGAATCTCCGTGAAGAATTTCATTATCCTAAAATGAAAGATCTCCCCTTAGGTAAGTTAAAATTGATTCATTCCGAAACGAGTTAAGTTTAAGAAATTGAAATGTAACAGAAATCAATTAGTGTTTACATAAGGGACCGGTATTTGCGAGTACCTTGATGATATATAGCGATCTCGTTCATTATTTATAACACAGTTTTAGCTAGTTACTAGAAGTCCGAAACTTGCTATGCCGAGATTCGTTTATTTATGACTGGCTTCGTGCGGTAATAGATTCCAGGCAATTCCTGTAGTCATTAAACAGTTCTCCAGTGTACACACTGTGAACCGTACATATACCACACACCATTAATTGTTTAAATGTATAGGCTTATATTGAAGACAAAAACATGGCGGGCGACCGAGCAGGTGCAAAGAACCAGTGGAATAAGCAAATATTGGTCATCCCAGGTCCTTGAATAGTTTTTATTTTTATTCAAACGTTTTCTGGAATAGTTTTTGCCAGATTCTTGAATACCGGTAGTTGATAAAATCTCATCTGCGACGAGGGGTGTTGCGTGGGTGTGTAATGTGGCGTCATTGAAGAATGTTGAGCCATACACACAAGTGTGCATAAATTATAGTCTTGATTTACAAATGCCAAATGAAACTAATTGATGACATGATGGTAATCGATGGGTAATCAGATGATCGGTCATTGATTATTGCCGACGATCAACATTAGTAATCTGGCTACAAAATTTCAATCACTGATTAGTCATTGATTGCATCAATTGGTCAAATCAATGTGATACATTGCATTTTGCTCTTCTACTGTCCCTAAGATTGCAACAGATGAGAGATAAGTCATTTGGATTCCCATGAGTTCAGCTACTTTCCCGACATTTTAACCTTACGTGCACAATTTTCCTTTGCTTAGTATAATTTATCACTGGGAACCATTCACACAAAGATTTAAATAACAGAAGAGTCAATTCTAAGAGAGAAAAATTCCAGAAAATTGTAATAGTTTTCCTGCATAGTAATATGTAAGGAATCAATGAATAATTGATTGGTACTCAGTAGGGGCAGGTAATTACTGAGTAATCATCAGCATCAGTGATTTATCAATGACATTGATAAGTAAACAGTAGGCCACTTTTAACAGTTTTGGTCATCAATTAGTCATGTCTTTATCATTGATCATCGCCAATAATCAATGACTAATCAGTTGATTATTCATTGATTACCCATCGATTACTCATTGATATACCTGGTCATTGATACGATACATCTGGCAAATGAGATAATGACTAACAGGGACACCCAACGACCGTTTTCTCTCAAATGCTTTTAAATGCTGTTTTAGGCTATCTGGAGTACTTTTAATTTAAAGCTCTCCAGGTTAATTTTAGATAGCACTAAAAAATTTTATCTGTTCAGTTATTCTAGGGGAACTTGAGTATTCTTGAATTTATTAGGGCTTTTTTGTCCATTTCTCGAAACCTTAGGTCTTATCGCCTTTCTGAAAATGATAGCTGACCTTTTTTTGGTACCCAAAAGGACATTTTTAACAATCCGAAAACAACAGACATTAAATTTCTCATATCACAAAAGTTCAAGGTGACAATCCTCTTAAGGTTACAGTATACCTTCAGGGGTGTCTCGTGCGCAAGCGATGTAGCGTGTGCAGTTTAAGCTGTAGATACCTAAACCCCTATATCAAATTAAAGTTTATGGAGCTGGCTATCAAACTATACCAAGAATT